TTTAGAGTATAAGAAAAATATTAAAAATACATTTTCTTGGCTATAGGCTACTTCTGATATAGGAAGATGTCTACACAAAAGTATATGAACTATTACCACTTAATATATGTCTAATTTAGGCAGACAAACAAGCATTAAGCAATGTTATATAAATGCTGGCAGGGTAACTTACTCAATTAAAGATTATCTCTGAAGGCTCTATTTACATTTCAGTCATGAAACAATTAGTGCCAATCTGATTAAATGATTGCCGATATTAGCATTAATGATAGTAGGGAAGCATTTGGGGAAAACTTAAAATTTTATTTTATCTCTTTCAGATTTTCTCATTGCTGCTTGAACTCTAATTAGAATAACTTCTCAGAAAAAGGCCACAATTAGAGGAGTAAAAGGATTTCATGTGGCAGGAGTAAAATAGTATTGTCATATCCCATCAATCCTCCAAGCACCCACTCTCAGAGAACATTCACTGCACTCTCTTGTGCCAACTCCAAAAGAGATTTTCCCAAGAAATGAGTTACAGGCAATTTTAGTTCCCATCACTACCGTCCATTTGTCATAACTGAAAAAAATATCCGTTATATTATAAAAAGATTCTGTTATCCAATATTTGCTAATTATGATGGAGACCAGAAACATACACAGTTTCAAAGAAAACAATTGAAGGGAACATCTGAAAGTAATTTCCCTCCATTCTTTGTTGTTCTGCTACTCACGGCAAATCTTCCAAACTGGAGGCTTCATGTCTTGGATCCAATAGGTCATAACCACATTCATTGTAGATTTCCAAATAGGAAATGTGTGTCGTATATATTTTGCTGCCGTCCTGATTGGAAAAGGGAAAGATATTACTTAATGTCTATAAATGGTTCAGCTTAGAGGAAGATGAACACATTATCACTGTAGTTTCCGCAAGTCTCTCTCCTTTTCTCTCTCACTTTATATGGTTTACATTTTCAGTTCGTGATACTTTCAAGTTGCCCGTTACCATATGCATGAGGCTTTTTTTCTAATGGCCAACACCCATGATTACAAGCAACTTCAGTCTGTTATTTTTTATTGGTTCCACATTATACATAAAAAGTCAATATATACTTACAATGAGCCAAATTGGTTGCAGAACTGTATAACACACCATTTTTTACTTTCCAGACTCCCCCCCAAAAAAGGTTACTAAAAAAAAAAAAACTTACATTCTGTGAATAGTCTATTCATAAAAGAGTACAGATTACTATTTTGGTTTAAAAATTTTAGTAGCAAAATAGTTTCCATCCTTAATCATATTTTTTTTTTTACTTTTATAATACTCAAAATTTTCTGAAGACATAAATAGATAACAATGACAGTGAGTTCAAGAGGACAGAAGATAGTTTAGATCAGTCAGATAAGAGTGGACATTAATAGTTCACTGCCTGTACCTCGCCCGTGGGTTAATTTTTCTGGCCCAAGGGGGCAAATCAGGGATATTTAGCTGTAGGTTAGAAAGAGATGTTTTCTGTGGGTCATTGCCGAAATATGATGACATAAGCATCAATGTAATGAGGCTAAACATCAAGGTGACTAATCCTAATCTCAGTTCTGCCAATAGACAAAACAGACCCATTCTTTCTGAGGTGTAGTCGAGAATTTTTTCAGCTCTTGAGAAAGTTCAATTTTCAATACAAAATATCCAATAATAGCACCTTCTTCTCATTCTTCCCAAAATACAAATTCTTCCATTTCTGCAAATATTATCATGCTTCTCACAAGAGGAGAATATATTTGTGACTTGTGGCAAGAAGTTTGGCAGGTTGGCAAAGTGGATACTAACAGAAAATTTGATTAGGATGACCTTCCTGATTGAGTCTCTCCCATATTCGAGACAATCCATTTAACAGGTGCTGTTCAAAGGAGAGGGAGAGGACCAACTCATAGCGACAGGGGAGAGAACAGCAGCCTGAAAATCAAAAGCTGGACTTCTACTCCAACCAGCTGTGAGCTTCTACCATGTCAGGCCCCAGTTTTCAAACTCATTAAAGTGAGGAAATTAGATAATGAATCTCTACATGTTCTTCAGTTTAAAATGAGTGATTCTTTGGTCTAATAAAATGGCTCAAACTATCCAAATAAAGATACTACCATCTCATACAAACAAAATGACATATGAACAATTAAGGCAACTCTCAGCCAGCACATGACGATAAGAAAAACACTCAAGCTACAGCTGAGGTTTGTGTTCCAGTGCTCTGTGAAGGTGACAATGCGGACTGCATTACTAAGCAAACTTCTCTCAACCAAATGCTACAAATTGTGCTGATGCTTATCCTGATGAATAGCCTCTCCTATTGATTACATTAGTGTCCTAGTCTTTCATTCCAACATAATTCTTTGGGTTGTAGCTTGGTTAACCCAGGTATCAGAGATGATAAACACTAGACAGACTCTAGTCTGGCCGTTAGTCTAATCCAGTGTTTCTAAAATATTCTATGAAATATAATACTCCTGGGAGAAAGTGTCCGTTCCATGGTCAACAATTCACACTCTTCCCTCTCTGGAAGAGTCCCAGAGCATGTTAAAGGCCCTGGGGGGGTCCTTCAGCAACATTATTAGATCCTGTTTAAACCAATGTATTTCTAAAATTCACCTGAACATATATGAAATATCCCAGAGATTATGGTTTGAAACTTTAGCACCCAGTTCTGAGCTCTACTTAGCATCAGACATACTGGATCTACCATTTATAATTAAATGAGTGGTCCAAAACCTTTATCCTTAATTATTTCACCATGAAAATGGGGAAAATAATCCTGATCTTGCATAGCTGTTGTGACAGAGAAATATGAGAAATAATGCTCTATCTTTAAAAGTTTACCAAAAATGTGTGGCCCAAAACAGGCATCAATGAATCATTGTTGCTGCTGTTGGTATTATATTGCTGTTGTTATTGTTTTTATTATTATTTCTGGAAGCCTTCAAATGGAGAATTCAGTATGTGAATATAAAAGGAAAGGGGGGAAAAAAAGCAAAAAGGACATCCAAAAGAAAAGCAAAAAGGACATCCAACTTATATGTTTGTCTGCAGTGGAGAAACTCTCTTCTTCCAGAAATTAGAATAAATCATAAAAAGTCAGGAAAATGGCAGGTCTACTACCCTGAAATGATAGCTATAATGCCTTTGGCTCATCCAGCTTCTGCATTTTGTGGACTTTTGCTGGAATACACACCGAAAATTCACTGAGCTATGTGGCAAGCTACCTTTCCTTATTACTCCTTTTTAGTGTTTAGGATTGCCAGATTCTAATGTAACACACATGTTTCCTGCAGACAGCTTTTTCTCCTGCCCCGAAACAAGTTTGAACTTCACAATACTCAAAAATAATGAGTAGGGATTTCTAAAATAAATGGAATCAATTTTCTTCTCTTAAATCCAGTAAAATTGTGCTCCTATCATACTCATAGGCATTTCAGGACCTAGCATGCACTAGGCTCTTACTTTAT